AGGCAGATCTTTGTAAGTTTGAGGCCAATCTGGTCTACAGAGTGAGTTCCAGGACAGCCAGAGCTACACAGAGAAACCCTGTCTCGAAAAACAAAGAAAGAAAGAAACAACCACCACCACAAATAATTTTTAAGACACCTATAGGTAAGGAGGTGAACTGAGCTCTGGCTGTGTCCCCAGCTTTGGAAAAAGAAGACATCACCTGTCCTCCAGTGTCCTTAGAAACATGTGGATAGTTAAATTCTGACCAATGCCGGACATTAGTTAAGCCATGTGAGCGCCCATGTATGCAGCAATGCTACAGTCCCCTGTCCCATTCTGCCACACAGAGCATTAGCGCTGACCCCTCCCCATCCTCAGGACTAATATTTAAAATGCAGAATGGCTGTGGAGGGCTCTGCTCTCCAGTCTTGTCATGCAGTAAAAACATATAAACAGGATAAATTCCCTCTCCGGCTCTGATGATGAGAACACCAGGCCCCTGACTGGAATTTTAAGTCCCGCCTCAGTCACTGCGCCTCGCACAGCTGATTTATGTGAACCCGGGTGCTCCTCTGCATATTTCTCCTGCTCAGCCGAGTAGCCAGGTTCCCCTTCCTATGCCATTAGCGTTATTAACACCTGCGCAGCCGATCACTGCAAATGGGCCGTTACTGTGATGAACAGAAACTTCCCTCCAACCCTGCCTGCCTCCTGGCTCTAGCCGCGCCCCCCCAGACACTTCCTCCTGCTTAAGCTCAAGCTGGGAGCCTAGTCTGTCTCGATCTGCCCACACCCCAGTGCTGGGGAATGGGATCCTGAGGACTTGGGAGGGACACCCCTTGCCTCATCATGCGCCCATGGCTTCCTGATGACGTAGAAAGCGCCGGTATGGTTCTTATTATACATTTCATTTAAATTCTTCTCAATTTTTCTATTATTTAAGAGTTAGGCTATTATTTTTTAATTAAATGTGTGTGTGTGAGTGTGTGTGTGTGTGTGTGTGTGTGTGTGTGTGTGTGTTCAAGTGCTATAGCATGTGTGTGGCAATCAGAGTGGTAACCCTCTCCTTCCCTCTCCTTCCCTATGTGAGGATGGAATACAGTAACCCCCCTGAGCCATCTCTCTCCTCTTTATAGAATCTTCCAGTAGGGGGATATTTGATACCTCCTGAGTGCTGGGATTAAATTCATGCACCCCTACTGCCCAAATTTTAATATTCTCATTAAAGATTAATTCTTGTTTTTGTGTCACATGGACGCAGTTGCCAACAGAGGCCAGAAGAGGGCATCAGATCCCCTGCTGCTGGAGTTACAGATGGTTTTGAGCCTCCATGTGGATGCTGGGAATTGAACCCAGGTCTTCTGGAAGAGCAGTTAGTGCTCTTAACCTCTGAGCCATCTCTTCAGCCCCTTTAACTTTTGACCAGGGGTGAAATTGAAGCCAAGGAAGGACAAAAGAGTGGCCTAAATTCTCAGGAAGACTTTACAGTGGTTTGGGATCAGAGGCCAGCCTCTTGCCGTTCAAAGTGTGACCCATGAAGTGGCAGGATCCAGGGCAACAGCTTCGGGGGTCAGGGGAGGGGCATTGCAGACTCTGAGGTCCAGAGCCACCGGAGGCACGGTCATCGGATTACACGTGCACATCCCGACATCGAATCCAAATTCCAACCATCTCTCTTTCACAGGAGTAAAATCTTCTGAGGTGAATTCTCTTGGTTCAGAAATAGCTGGGAATCCAGGCGGGGATGGGACTCAGTAGGTAGAGTGCTCACAAAGCCCTGGCTTCCATAGCCAGCATTGTATAACCAGGCTTGCTGTGACACCCTGGAATCCCAACACTGTGGCAGAAGCAGGAGGATCAGGAGTTCCAGATCATCCTCAGCTACCCTGCAAGATTGAAGCCAGCCTGGGGTGAGGTATATGAAACCCGGCTTCATAAAAGAAACGGGGGCGGGGGGACAGGATGAGAATGGGTGAGAAAGAAAAGAATGAGAGAATATAGAATGAGATTGCTGGGTGTAGTGGTGCATGCATTCAATCCCACCACTCAAGAGGCTGAAGCAGCTGGATCTTTGTGAGTTCGAGGCCAGCCTGGCCTACAGAGTGAGTTCTAAGACATCCAGAGCTGTGTAGAGATACCTTGTCTCAAATAAACAAACAAATAAACAAATGAATATCATTGTCAAGGTTCAACAAGGCCATGTGCATTACAGCCTAATCACAGAGGCTTCATGAAGGGACCCAAGACCTGGTAGTGATAACAACCTCCACTTACAGCATCAATCTCCTGCCTTGGATCCTTGACAATAAAAATCAGTATCGCCAGGTGGTGGTGGCACATGCCTTTAATCCCAGCACTCGGGAGGCAGAGGCAGGTGGATCTCTGTGAGTTCGAGGCCAGCCTGGGCTACAGAGTGAGTTCCAGGAAAGGCACAAAGCTACACAGAAAAACCCTGTCTCAAAAAAAAAAAAAAAAAATCAGTATCCTGTGAGGCCTCTAGGCCGGTCTTTGGACAACTGGGCTCCAGCAGCCTGCTCCAGGAAATCTCACGTCTCTATTTTCTGAGACTTCTGGCTGCTTGAAGCAAATCCCTGGTGTTGACACTGTGTCCTGCTTACCAAACATCCAGAGGGCTCAGCTGGGGAACTGGCTCAAAACTACAAAGTAACCTTCCCCACACTCCCTGTATCTAATCCACAGGGTTGCCTAGTTCCGGGAAGGTCTGTTTCCAGTTTCCAGTAGAAATGATGCTTTCTTCCCAAAGCCTGTGGAGATTTGATCTATGGATGAGACTATAGGAGATGCTTTGTAGGGGGCACTGGCTGTTCTTGCAGAGGACGTGTGTTCGATTCCCAGCACCCACATGTCAGCTCACAACTGTCAGTAACTCCAGTTCCAGGGGATCCAATGCCCTCTTCTGGACTCCGAGGATACTGCATGCACGTTGTACACAGACACATAGGCAGGCAAACACTCATACACCTAAAACCTTTCAAAAGAGCCGGGCAGTGGTGGCGCACGCCTTTAATCCCAGCACTCGGGAGGCAGAGCCAGGCGGATCTCTGTGAGTTCGAGGCCAGCCTGGGCTACCAAGTGAGTTCCAGTAAAAGGCGCAAAGCTACACAGAGAAACCCTGTCTCGAAAAAAACAAAAAACAAAAAACAAACAAACAAAAAAAAACCTTTCAAAAGAATCTTTAGATGTTGCATGGATGGGCTTGTGCATGGATGGGCAAGCCCCTGGGAGATAACATAGGCCAGAGATGGCATTTCGAGAATGTGTCTGCCCAGAGAGCTGGCCCTTAGGTGGTCCACCGTGCAGAACTGGAGACATATCTGGCCTGGGACATTTCAATTTGGGACTGACTTTGGTAGAGTTGTGCTGTGTTGTATGTATCTAGGTCACTCACCCTCTCTGGTCACAGCTGCAAATCCTGGAGACCTCCACCAGCCCCGCCCCCAGCCTTCTCTCCATTCACTCATTCATTCATTCATTCAACTGCTCACCAGGGATCTGCCCACCGTGTGTTTACAGGACAGTGCCCTGGATGGGGATACAGTCTGGACAATTTGGTCATTCTGTGCTGTTCAGAGAGACACTGTTGCTGTAGGATGGTCTGTATGTCAAATTGCTCTGATTGGTCAATAAATAAAACACTGATTGGCCAGTGGCCAGGCAGGAAGTATAGGCGGGACTAACAGAGAGGAGAATTGATGAAACAGGAAGGGAAGAGAGACACTGCCAGCCGCCGCCATGACAAGCAGCATGTGAAGATGCCAGTAAGCCACGAGCCACGTGGCAAGGTATAGATTTATAGAAATGGATTAATTTAAAATATAAGAACAGTTAGCAAGAAGCCTGCCACGGCCATACAGTTTGTAAGCAATATAAGTCTCTGTGTTTACTTGATTGGGTCTGAGCGGCTGTGGGACTGGCAGGTGAGAGAGATTTGTCCTGACTGTGGGCCAGGCAGGAAAACTCTAGCTACACACTGTAACCATGAGAAAGAAGAGGTAATAACCACGGGTGACAAGAAAAGAGGGTGACACCGAGTGTGGGGGTGGACACACAACTGCAATCTCAGAATTCAGAAGGCTGAGACAGGGGGATGGTGAGTTTGAGGCTTCACAACGTAGTGAGACCCTATCTAAAAGGAGAGGGGAGGGCACCAGGGAGGTTAGATGTTGGAAGGTGCTCCCTGCCCTGGCCTAGGGATGCCTGCTTTGGGTACCACAAAAACTCAAGGAACAAGATAAACTAACTTTAAAATGCATTTTTGAAACAAAAGGTGAACAAGCCAGCAACATTTTAAGAATGGGAGAATCTGCTTGGCCTGAGTTGGGGTAGGGAGAGAAAGGTCATAAGGCCAGGCCCCAGTTACATTGTTATATTTTTTTATTCGTTTTTTGCATTCTTTTACATTTTTAATTTGTTTTGTTTTTGTTTGCTTGTTTTGCTTTTTGATTTCGAGACAGAGTTTCTCTGTGTAGCCCTGGCTGTCCTGGAACTCACTCTGTAGACCAGGCTGGCCTTGAACTCAGATACCCGGCTGCCTCTGCCTCCTGAGTGCTGAGATGAAAGGTGTGTGCCACCACCCCCTGGGCAGCCGTCAAGATCTTACTTCCCACATGGCAGAAGAAGAAACCGAGGCTCTGAGGGGTTCATTCACCCACTAGGTGGGAGGAAATCTAAAAGAAATAGAGGTAGGATTTGAACCCAGGTCTTCCATCGCCCAGCCTGGTGTGTTTTCACCCTACCTCCACAGCTGAGAAGAATCGCCCAAACTGTGCGACTTGGGTGAGGCCTCAGGTCCCCTCCTGTATCAAACCCACCTCCAGGGACTGGGGTGTCATGAGACCCCACCAGGCCCAGCAAGGTCCCCCACACTTTCACCCTCCGAAGAATGAGAAAGACCCCACTCCGACTGTAAAGGGAGCAGCTTGGCCATTTGTTCTTCAAACACTGATTTTATTCTTTCGGTCTTTTTGGCGGGGAAGGGTTGGGGACGGCAATCAGTTTTCGGACTTAAGATAAAAAATCGCAGGAAAGGGGCTGCTTGACTCTCTATAATTAATGGGGCGGCCTGTAATAGGATTCTCCTGCCCATGGCGCTCCCAGGAAACACCTTTTTACATAGGATATTGCCCACGCCGGAGTGGCAGTGGGTGATTTATGGGGTTCCCTGCTGCACAAAGCCTCTCCCGGGGTTGCCAACCGCTGGATTTATCAGGGAATTTGGAAGCCGGGCGCGGAGCCCGCCCGTGACATTTTTGGTGGAATTTAAACAGTACAAACAGTGGAGAAGGGAGAGGCAGGTGAGACCTAGGAGAGGGCTCCGTTTAGACCACGGGGCCAGAGGAGGAGAGTCCCGGCTGTGATTTGTAGCCAGAGGGCCGAGGAAGACACAGGCAAGAAAACCAAGCTAGGAGACTGCTCATGGGTCTGGGTCCTCAAAAATTGGCCTGATTGGAGACCCAGCGGACGCCTGCTGTTTCAGATCCCTTTGTGAGCAGGTCAGCCATCCACTGTGAGCCCACATATCCCTAGACACAAAGGCTCTGGTGGGCAGGGTGCAACCCCACACTGTGTGCGGCCAACCCCTCTAGCTGCCAAGGGTCCACCTTACCCTCCTCTAAGGGGTTCTGAATCTAAGGGGGGCGGGGAGTACACCACCTTGTCCACTCAAAGGTCAAGTTAGCTCAAGATGGAGGGAGTCCTAATCTGGGCACGGGGCTGAGGGACACATGCCGTGGGACTATAATCCTGCCCCAGGACCTTTGCATGTGCTGCTACTGGGGCCCTTCCCCCTCCCTCCTCTTGGTTGCTTTTGGGCCTCAGTGCAAAATTTACCTTTTCCAAGCTGTGGATGTGGCTCAGTGGTAGGACGCTTGCCTAGAATGTGTAAGGCTTGGCTTTGGCTCCTAGTGCTGTCAAAAAAAAAAAAAAAAAAAAATCCAAAGCAGCTTCCCCTCTGATCTGTTAAAGACTCATATTGATGTAGTTATGAGCCAGGACTCTTTTAAATAGTCCATCCTAATAAAACGGCCTGTGTGGTTTCTCCAGCACACACTCTCCTGTCTCCCTCACCATCTCCTCTCTCTCTCTCTCTCTCTCTCTCTCTCTCTCTCTCTCTCTCTCTCTCTGTTCTTTTTTCTGTTTATGTTTTTGTTTTTGTTTTTTGGTTTGGTTTGGTTTGGTTTGGTTTGGTTTTCCAAGACAGGGTTTCTGTGTGTAACAGTCCTAGCTGTCCTGGAACTCACTCTGTAGCCCAGGCTGGCCTCGAACTCACAGAGATCCGCCTGCCTCTGCCTCCCGAGTGCTGGGATTAAAGGCGTGCGCCACCAACCACCCGGCCTCACCTCTCTTTAAAACCCCCATCAGCTATACATTGTATGTGTGTGTGCGTGTGCATGTGGAAGCCAGAGGTTAACACCTCAAGTGCCATTTCTCAACGACGCCATCCCAGCTGAAAGGGCCAAGCAGCTGCCACCTGACTGCCTCCCTCCCTCCTCCCACCTGCTCCAGGGTGACAACAGCCCCTTTGCCAGCCAAAGCTTAAAGATGAGACAGAGGGTCTGGGTGAACCCCAGTAGCTGAGAAGAAGGGGCAGTGGGAGTCACGGCAAGGCCATCAGGCTGCATGTGAGCAGGAACACACACCACAAACACAGGTCACAGTGACCTTATGCAGCCCTAAGCAAATGCGTTCTGATTCCAGCCCTCTCCCAGGCTCCGCTCTCCCAACAGAGAGCCCAGAGGTGGCAGAGTCAGTGTCCGCCCACTAAACCAGGCCCTGCCACAGCAAGTCTGCAATGTCCCCAGTTCCTTTGTCCCCCGACTCTCTCCACCCTCCCTGCTTTCAAATGCCTTGGGCGTCAAGCAGAGGGTCTAAACTGAGCTTAGGGACACACACACGTTATTTGAGTGTGTCAACAGTCCTCTGGGGCTGTTATCTGAAGCTCCAGAGACTGGGCAAGGAGCAAATAGCAGCTGACAAGTCTCCCAGGATGGAGAGCCACGGGGGGGCTGAGGCCAGGTCAGGGCTGCCTGGGATCCCCAGCACCTGGACCGGAAACAGCCTCTGCTACTCAGGTGCAGGGACAGGAGAAGGAAGGAACATTGCCAGCCTGGACAATCCCGGGAGGCTTCAGGGTGGAGGCAGTCCTCATGCCAGGCTTGAAGGATGTGCAAGAGTCAGAAGCCCAGAGAGCAAGGCAGGCAGGGGAGAGAGGCTGAGAAAGTGAGCACAAGGAAGAGTCTGTGCATAAGATGTGCAGCCCAGCCCAAGTGGTTCAACTCTTCTGACTCAGTTTCCTCACTTGAATGCAGGTAGCAATTGTCCATGTGGCATGGGTCATTATGAGACAAAATGGTCCAAAGCCCTGAGACACATGGCAGGTCACACATATGCCCTCCCCCAACAGCCCATGGCACAGCCCAGACTGGGACAGAGAGAGCAAGGGAGTGTCTGCTCAGGACGCCCTGGATCCTTAGCAAGAATAAAGATGGACTCAGGTCTGGCTGCATCCAGCTCCAGGACTCACGGCACCCAAGTCTCTATCCTGGCAGATTCACAAACTGTGGCTCCAAGGAACCGGGAACTGGTTCCCAGGTGTCTGGTGGGGGGATTCTTAGCAAGTGAGGGCCAGGTCTGGGGTTCTGGGGGGAAGACAGTGTAGGCAGCAGATTTGAGAGCGGAGGTCACTGCTGCTCGAATCCTGCCATTGAAGAAGGAGGTGAGTCATGGTCTGTAGGCTGCAGGCCCAGAGAAAGGAGGACACTTACCTGTCTGAGGCCACACGGCCCACATGCCACAGGGAAATGAGTTTTACCCTGAGCTGTGATTCTCCGAGATGAGCTCTGTAACCGGCAGGCTGTGAGGAGAATAAGAAGACCCCCCAGACAGAGACAAGGTGTATCCCAGACCCCTGTGGGGTCTGAGAACCCCCAGACTGGGAGAGAGCCCAGGGTTGCCGGGGACACAAGACCACCCTGAGATGCCTTCCCCATAGGAGACACTCTGCTGCCCCCTTGTGGATTCAACGGAGTTGATGTCATCTTGTTTCCTAAGAGATTTTTCTAGGGCTGAAGGCCCTGACCCCCTGGGTAGGGGGCGAGGGACACGCTACATGACTCCGACCACTCTCCCTGGAGCCCTGCCACCTCTAGTACTCACGCTGGCATAACTTAGTGACATTGAGAAGTACTGTCTGCACCTGGCTGGGTCATATGCCAACTTCGTGACCTTGGTGCATTATGTCATTTACACACACACACACACACACACACACACACACACACACACACACGTGCACTGTGCCAGGGACTTGCTGGCAGGGCCTTGGTGACTGTTGATGCAGAGAAGAACTCTTAGGAAAGTTACTGGCAGTTAAGCAGGTGACATCATCTCCTCCAGGGAGGGACGTGTTTCAAGGCTCAGTGCGGGCCACTCATGCTGAAATATGGAGTCGCTGCCTCAGAACCTGCTTCAGGACTGTGTAGCTCAAGGGGTAAAAACACAGAATCCGTGGAAGCCACACACTCAGCTCAGGAAGGTTTATTCACTGAACTGCAGGGAGCCCGTGGGAGCAATCCAAGGGGACCACCTGAAGGAGACAAGCTACCTGAAGCATGGCAGCGGGAGCTGAGGCCCCCTGGGTGGCCATGATGGTGTCCAGGGGCCTCTCTGGGATCCCCGGGAGCCCTCAGCTGCAGCCCAGCTGGGTTTTCAGCTCCTGGAGCTGTTGGTTACTGATGTTGTTGCCACCACACACGATGACCACAATGGAAGCCTGGGCCAGCCTCAGGCGGCCCTCAGCCTGGAGCCTCCCCAGGATGCCTGAGTATACAGCGGCCAGGGCAGCCCCGCAGGCAGGCTCCACCAGCATCCGCTCGTCATCTGTGGGGAGGAAGAGGAAGGATTGTCAGTCAGTACTCGGCGGGGGGGGGGCATTCCACCACTCCATCCATCCATCCGTCCGTCCATCCGTCCGTCCGTCCGTCCATTCATCCATCCATCCATCCATCCACCCCACCCATCCCTTCTGCCATCACAGGTCTGACTTTCTACAGATCTACTCCTTACTCCATCACTTGGCTGTCTCTCTGTCCATCCGTCAGTGTAGCCTTCGTCTGTAAAGCTAGCCATCCATCCAGGAGCCATCTATCCATCTCCTACCCATCATGTGATTGCTCATTCATCAGCCTGCTCATCAACTTGTCCATCTACCCACCATCTACCCACCAATCGATCCACCCACCCATCCACTCATCCACCCACACACCCATCCATCCATCCATCTATCCATCCATCCATCCTTCAATCTACCCAACTATCCACCCACCCACCCACCCATCCACTCATCCGCTCACCCATCCATCCATCCATCTATTCATCCCTACCCACCTATCCCACACACACCCATTCATCCTTCTCTCCCTCCACTGCCCATCCATCCATTACTCATCTTTCCCACTCACTCCTAAACTCATCCATTCATTCAACAAATACCTCACTCTCTGCCTGGCTCTGTGTTTGGAAGACCCTAGGGACATAACAGTGGTTAAGACGCAAAACCCCACCCCCACCCAGTTACACCCCAACAATAGATAAAAACCAGACAGCTGTGAGCAGACGGGTTAGTGTATTGGAAGTCTCTAGTTAGTGAGGTGGTGTGGGGAGATCAGGGTGGCTTCCTGGAGGACGTACCTAATGGATTACTAGTCATCACTATAGACAAGCAATGGGGGATGGGACCAGGAGGCAGAGCATGTGCAAATGTCCTGAGATTGCCTAAGACTTTCCCTTCCTCCCCCCGCCCCGACCCCGCCACCCCCGTCCACTAATGGACACGCCCCATGACATCATCAGCCAGTCCTGTCACAGATGCTGGGGACATGGTTGAGGTGGACAGGTGGATGACCTGGGTCTCACTCACCCAGGAACCTCTGCACAGCGCTCACAGCCTCCCGGTCTTCCACCACCTCAGAGAGGATCTCACACTCCTTTGCACACTCCAAGGTCCGTGCCGCCACAGTCTTGGCTCCCAGGCTCCTGGCTACACTGTTTGGGGAGGCGGGTGGAAGAGCAGACACATCAGAGATCCGCCCTGCAGGCCCCAGGTCACCCACATCCTGTGATAGACAAGTCCCCATCAGGCGGTCCAGACATGCTCAGATGTTGTGCATCCCATGAGCGACTCACAAGCATGCTTGGTCTCCTACCCTAGGCTGACCTCAAAAAACCCACCACAGAAGGGGACATTGGCCATCTAGTCACTTTATTTACCAATAACTATTGATGATGGATGTCCTGCGAGCCTCACCAGAGGGGAATGTGCCCAGTGTGCATACGTCTGTTCTAATACACACACACACACACACACACACACACACACACACACACACACACACACGGAGTGAGAGGAAAGGAGCCTGAGAGACGTAAATAACTACATCAGGAACACACAGCTGGTCTATACCAGAACGTGGATTCCGACCCATTTGATCTCAGTGCTGAGGTCACCTCTCTGCTACTATCCATGGTGAGCTAGAGTCTCTGTGTCTTGAACTCAGAGATATCTCTGGGGACCTCTGACTCCCGAGGAACCCAGACCACTTAAGGCTGGAGCCAGAGTGTCTACTTTCTGACTTTGGCTCTGTACTAGCTGTGCAGCCTTGGGAAAGTCACTTGACCTCTCTGGGTCTAGGTTTCTTCATCTGAATAATGGAACTTCTGAGGTTGTCACAAGGCTGGAGCGAGTAGAAACCTGTAAGGTGCTTTCTTAACTCAGGGCCGGATGCTTGGAGAAGTGTTGATTGTGGTTACTACTGTCGCTGGGGTGATTAAGTTCACAGATGGGGCAGAGGTGATGAGCAAGGTAATGAGCCAGGCGTGCTGGTACAGACCTGTCATCCCCACACTGGGAAGGCTGAGACAGGAGGGTGGCAAGTTCAAGGCCAGCCTGGGCTACAGAGAGAATTCAAGGCCAGCCTGGACAACTTAGTGGAACTCTGTCTCAATAAAAAGTAAAAAGAGGGTTGGGGTACAGCTCAGAGCTGGAACACTTGCCCGGCATGTGTGAGGCCCTGGTCCCATACCCAGCATAGGGCAGAGGATACAAGTGAATAAATGCCCACATGGTACTGAGCACCCCAGGAGACAGCTGTGGGGGTTCTATATGGTGACATCTAAGCTAAGCTGCCAGAGACGAGGGGAGACAAGCAAGACAGGTGAGGAGTGTTCCAGGCATAGAAACAACATGTGCAAAGAGTCGGGACCAGCTTTCAGCCATTACAAGGACAGAAAGAAAGACCTCGGCAGAGTGGGGGAGAGAGAGCCTGGAGTTGGCTGCAGGTTTGGGGGAGGAGCAAGGATGGGCATAAGTCGAGGCTGGTGAGTCTTGTAGAAGAGTGTGGCTCAGTGAGCTACAGAGAGAATTCAAGGCCAGCCTGGGCAACAAAGGAAGTGAGGCTCAGTGGCAGAGCTCCAGAGTCCAGGCTGGCCCTGAACTCTCTCAGTAGGGCTCCGCTCCCAGCACTGAAGGAAGATTCCAGCTCAGAGGGTCGACTGCTCGCCTAGCATGCATGAGACCCTGGGTTCCATCACCAGCACCCCATAAACTGGATGCCTATAATCCCAGCACTTGGGAGGAGGATCTAGGAGTTCAAGGTCATCCTCAGCTACATAGTGAGTTCAAGGCTAACCTGGGCTACATGAGATCCTGTCTCAAAAATTTTTAAAAAGACCACTGACCACAGTTTGAATAAGTGAAGAGTGTGGTCTTGTACCACATGTCCTCATGTAGATGTTACCACTCCCGCAAAAAAAAAAAATGGCCACAAGGCTGGTCTAGAGGACGGGGAGACTGTTGCCCCACACCAGGGATCAATGACTGTAGTGGTTTGAATGTAATTGGCCCCCATAATCTCATAGGCACTGTTAGGAGGCGTGGCTTTGTTGGAGTGGGTGTGGTCTTGTTGGAGGAAGTATGTCACTGTGGGGGCGGGCTTTGAGGTTTCCTGTGCTCAGGATACCACCCAGTGTCTCAGTCGACTTCCTGTTGCCTGTGAGCTGTAGGACCCTCAGTTCCTTCTCCAGCACCATGTCTGCCGTGCTCCCCACCATGATGATAATGGACTAAACCTCTGAACTGTAAGTCAGCCCCAATTAAATGTTTTCCTTCCTAAGAGTTGCCGTGGTCATGGTGTCTCTTCACAGCAATAGAAACCCTGACTAAGTAGGTGTGGGGACCAGGCCGAGAAGGGAACCAGGGTCTAGGAATGGGACGGATGTAACCTCCAAAGTTAAAGGAGGAGGAGGAGTTCCTAGGTCACTCCACCTGTGTGGAATGCTTCTGTCTGTAGAAACAGCAACCTGTGGGTATTACGAGATGCTTCTGCTGTGCCAGGCTGGGGGGCGTGTACCTACCTGAGGGCTTAAACAGCTGGGCTGCCACTCTGGAGTAAGCCCCACCCCCTTTAATTGACACAGGCTCTCATTAGCCTGAAGTTTGCCAAGTAGCTATACCGGCTCCACCTGCCTCTGCTTCCCCAGGACTAGATTTCAATCACACACTACCACACTCCACTGTTTCACACAGATACCGGGGTCTGAACTCTGGTCCTCACACTCTCAAGGCAGGAACTTCACCGATCCTCCGTGTCTGTCTCCCTGGCTTAGTTTGCGGTCATTTCTTTCTTTCTTTGTTTTTCTTTTTTTCAAGACAGGGTTTCTCCCTGTAGTTTTGATGCCTGTCCTGGATCTTGCTCTGTAGCCCAGGCTGGCCTCGAACTCACAAAGATCCGCCTGTCTCTGCCTCCCGAGTGCTGGGATTAAAGGCGTGCGCCACCACGGACCAGTCTGCAGTCATTTCTACAGCAGTTCTGGGAAGCTGACCAGCTTGTGTTACATGTTTCTAAGGAGGAGTCTCTCCTGCTCACCTCTGGTTCTGGGATGTGCCGCTCTTCACTCTCCCAGCTCTGGGGTCACAGGTGCTACGGCTGCACCCAGATTTTGTGTCAGTGCTGAGAACCTGAACTCGGGTCTTTCCACTTCTAAGGCAAGCACATTGCCCACTGGGCCTCTCCAGCACCACCCCTGCCTTTATTTTGAGACAGGGTCTCTCTATACAAGCTCAGGCTGGGCCTTCACGCTCAAGCCTCCTGCCTTTTAAGTGTCGGAATGACAGGGGCGCGTGTTGTAGAATATTATTTCAAGGTGTGTTACTTTTGTTTATGCTCTGGACTGTTGGTTTAATGATGCAAAGATGTGTTTGATTAAATAAAATTCACCTGCGGTCAGGAGGCTGCGTCAGCAAGTACCTGACAGGGAGTGGTAGGGAGGAGCCAGGTGAAAAAAAGGAGGAGCCAGAGAAGAAGGAGGACTCCAGGGACCAGCCACCCAGCTACATAGCCAGCCAGCCACGGAGTAAGATTTACAGAAGTAAGAGAACAGGAAAAGCCCAGAGGCAAAAAAAAGATAGATGGGGATGATTTAAAGTTAAGGAAAGTCATCTAGAAACTAAGCCAAGCTAAGGCCGGGCACTCATAATTAAGAAAAAGCCTCCATGTGTGGATTTATTTGGGAGCTGATTGGTGGGCCCCGCAAAAGAGCCAAAAAACAAACAACAGGTGTACCCACGGACCCGGCTTTTTTCACACCCTCTAACTTCGTGACAGTGGTTAGAATTTCAGGATAAGCAGACTTTGGGGTGCCCCCACCCCCACAAGCCTGGACAAAGAGGCCATAGGATAGAGACACCCCACCCTCTACCCCCTCAGATGCTCCACCCAGACCCACCTGGTGATGTCTGGCAGAGTGACCAGCCTGCCTGCCTGCAAGGCCGCGTTGAAACTGTGTGCCCCTCGGGTCTCCATGGCAACGATGGGCACATGCCGCCAACCTACCTCCAGCAGGCCCTCAGTCACACCGGCTAGGAGCCCTCCGCCCCCGACAGACAGCACCACGGCGCCCGGCGGGGTCCCCAGCGACTCTTTGAGCTCCCGCACCAGGCTGGCATGGCCTTCCCTGGGGGGTGGGAGTGGAACAAATGATAGGCGGACCCCTCTCCTTGGCCACTGAAAGAGGCGAGATGGTGCAGCAGGGTGCCCCCAGCTTCAGCCTTGTTCTCCATCCACTCATCCCTTCATCCACACACCCGTCTCCTCGCCGCCCTCCCAGGCTCGCTCTTACCTTTTCTTATTCAATCCTTCCCCACTTTGGAAAGAAAGACCCTCATCAGGGAGGGTTAAGAGGGACCAACCTGTGACTTGGGACCAGGTGTGGTTCTGGAAGTAGAACCCTGTCTCTTCCCCCATCAGCTGTGTGCCCCTGGGCCAGTATCTTGACCTCTCTGTGCCGCAGTGGGCTTCCCGGTAGCTACCTCATAGATGAGTAGCCAGTGAGGGAACGCCAGCAGCCTGCACCCAGCCCCAAGGCACATGTTTGATAAAGACTATTTTATATTACAATTTCCATTGGATGGATGAAAAAACTGAGGCATGGGTAGCGAGGTGCTTTGCACAAAGCGTAATTCCCAAGACGCAAGGTCTGAACCCATGTCTGCCTGGCTTTGAGGGTTCCTCTCCTTTCTGGGCCTCCGGTTCCTCCGGCCCTGATTCAATGAGGGTCCCTTGTTCTGACACCCTGGGAACAAAGCCACAAGCCTCACCATATCAGGGGATGATCAAACGGCGAGACATTCACCCAGCCGTCCCTCCTGGCCAATTCTTGCGCCCGTGTGTTGGCTTCATCCCAGACCTAAGGAGAAATCGAGGCCCTGGAAAAAGCTGGGGTGCAGACTCCACGGGGACTATGGCAGAGACTGGAGTCTCCTACAGAGGTGGAGGAGGTCTCCCCTCCTGAGAGAGACCATACCTCCCAGGATGAGGACCGCAACCTCTGCATGGGCCAAAGGAAGCATCCCTCAAACTCAAAGGGACCCAAATGCCTGACAGCAGGGCCAGAACCCCTCAGGGTGCACAGAGCCAGTGAACTCCAGGACTGGTGACATGGAACCCACTTCGGGGCCCACAGGAGGGGACAAATCCCTCACATATCGTCTGGGTCCCTGCAGCCTACCCGTGAGAGCCTCCGTCACCCAACGATGGCCCAAGGTGAACTGAAGCATAGACGTAGGCAGAGCTGGCCCCTGACACCTGTGCCCGCCACAGGTCACCCGGGGCTCACCTTCCTGGGTGTCGCCTGATCCTAGAGCTTGTCTGGGTAGTAGACAAAGTGGGCTGCAGATACTGGGAGCGTGTGCTTGGGGCAGACTCCACCAATAAGGATTGAGAGTTGTGGGTGACAGCTGCTATGTCCCACTCAGTGGCACAACCCTCCTGAGCTCTGAGGAAACCCCAGGTGGTACAGACATGCCCCTGCCCCGCAGGGTGGGCTTCCCGTTCCACCCCGCCCTATTCAGGGATAGATGGATGGGTGAGTGGATGCTGAAGGAAAGGAAGAAGAGACGTTAGAAATTAGCGGGATGTGGTGGTGCACACCTTTACTCCCAGCACTCGGGAGGCAGAAGCAAGTGGCTCTCTGTGAGTTCGAGGCCAGCCCGGGGTACATGGTGAGATCCAGGACAGCCAGAGCTACCCAGAAAAACCTTGTCTCAAAAACAAACAAAACAAAAAAAAAAAAAGCAGAGGGCAAGGGAAGAAGGAAAGGCCGGGAGGAAGGAGAGAAGCTCCACAGCGCTTACAGTGCTAAACCCTTGTCCCACCCATTCTCTCTTCCCTCCACCCTCCCGAGAGAAGACTGAAGACCAAAACGCTGCTTCTGGCCAGTGTCCGTCCAAAATAAACAGAGGCGATGCCCTGGAGTGCGGTGGGGGAGGACACAGCACCCCACCCACCCAGCCACCCAGCCAGCTCTCTGTCCTTGCTTTCCGCTCCTTACCTTCCCAGTCAGCTGGACCTCGGCCCCCTCCCCCTCCAGCCGCCTCACCACCTGCGTGGAAGTGGTCTCTGGGAGCACGATGGTGGCAGGGATGCCCAGCTTCCGAGCTGAGTATGCGGCTGCAATACCTGCATTGCCCCCTGGGGGCAGTGGAGAAAGGAGTTTCTCAGACCGCGCCATGCTGCCCTCTCCCTGTAAGTCACCCGGGGCAGAGGAAGACACCTGATCTACATCGAGCCAATCAGAGAACGCAACCTCCTCACTCATTACTGCTTCAGGGGTGAAGTATGTTGCTCAGGCTACCGTGTGGCCTGGACAAAGAGGCAAAGGAGAAGAAAAAGCAAGAGACGGAGAGGGACCGAAGAGAGCGGCTGGATCCAGCCATGCCTGAAAGCCATTTATCCCGAGCATGTTCGGAACTTGGAGCCCACAGCTTAAACCTCTGTGAGATGGGTCTCTGTCGCTTGTGACCTCCACAAATCTAGGATTATGGGGAAGGGACTGAAAACAGGTGGTGTGGCTGTCTGAGACTGTGGCCCGGATGAGCTACTCCTTAAAATGAAACTAAACTGGGCTGTGGTAGCGCAAACCTGTAACCCCAGCACTCAGGAGGTAGAGACAAGAGGATCAGGAGTCCCGTAGCCTTTACAAAGGAAAGAAAGAAAGAAGGAAGGAAGGGAGGGAGAGAGGAAGAAAGGAAGGAAGGAAGGAAGGAAGGAAGGAAGGAAGGAAGGAAGGAAGGAAGGAAGGTAGTCAAGCCAAGCCCTGGACATTGACAGATGCTCTAGCTGGCTCCCCTGCCCCCACCCCAGTCCTGAGGACTCCTAGTAAAACAGAGAGGAGTGGGGTCACCTGAGGAGCACACCAGATGTCTGCATCCTCTCATGGCCATCTGGAGAGAGAAAGGACTGAGTTGGGGGTCACTCCAGTCATGGAGGCCTTTGTGGGATGTGGCGGGGTGCTCCATCCACGCCCAACACTCCTCTCCTTCTATCCTGCCCCCACCTCCTCCACAGCCCTGTGTGAGACCTCACTCCCCTCCCCAGCCCCGGGCCCACCTGCTGACAGAAATGTCCGATGCCCCGGATCTTAAAGGAGCCAGCTGGCTGCACATTCTCATATTTGAGGAAGACGGGCATGCCTGCCACCCGAGACAGTGCCCAGCTCTCCAGCAGGGGGGTGACCCTGTGGAAAGGCTCCACCCTGACACGCTCTGCCTCCATTCCTGTGGCACAGAGATGACCTGTAAGGGGGGGCATGCACAGTTTAGATTCCTTAACTCTATCAGGAGAAGGGAGGTCAAGGCCCCTGAGCCTGGCCACCCTAAATCCAATCCAGCTTCCAAGCTTCAAGGTCCAGGCAGGTGTCTGCCTCTTTCTGGACCTTGGTTTCCCCATCCGAACAAGGCAGATTGTCCTGGTTAACAATGGCTTGTCTGTGGCTTGTCCATAGTGCTGGGGACACAGAGTGTGACCGAAGAGTCATAAAATTCAGTCATTCATTCATTCATAATTTTTCCATATAAAACACTGGTTAAGCAGATGCCAAGGAGGCAGCGCCCTTCCTTACCCCCTATCTTTGCCGTTGGCAATCTTTTGCCCTCCTCCTGGTTATCGGTTCCCAGTTACCCAGCCACGGCCCGTATTGTCTCTAAAAGCAAAGATGCTTTTGTTGTAGTTGCCGTTGAGAGATAGGGTCTCCGTGTGTAGCCCAGGCTGGCCTGGAACCCACCATCCTCCTGCCTCCCCCTGCTCAGCATTGGGGGTATACTGCTCTGACATCACACTGGCCAGTAAGCCTTTGTTTTGGTTTTTGATGTACATATGTAGCTTTACAATGGTTTACATCTGTCCAAACTCAGTGGGATGGCGACTTTACATGGGCTACATAAGAAGTTTGAAGCCAGCCAGGGCTGCACAAGATCCATCTCAAAACAGAAAAAAAGCGGGGGGGAGTGGAGAGATGGCTCAGCGGTTAAGAGCACTCGATGCTCTTGCAGAGGACCCAGGTTCACTTCCCAGCACCCACATGGTGGCTCACAATCGGTTCCAACTCTCATTCTAGGGAGTCCGATGCCCTCTTCTGGCCAGCTTGTACATGGTGCGCACGCGGTCATATATGCAGACAAGTACACATACACATAAAAATAAATTTTAAGCCAGGCGGTGGTGGCGCACGCCTTTAATCCCAGCACTCGGGAGGCAGAGCCAGGCAGATCTCTGTGAGTTCGAGGCCAGCCTGGGCTACAGAGTGAGTTCCAGGAAAGGTGCAAAGCTACACAGAGAAACCCTGTCTCGAAAAACCTAAATAAATAAATAATCTTTTAATTTTAAAAGATTGCAAAAGGGTCTGGCGAGATGATTCAACAAACGTTACTTGTCACAAAAGCCTGATGACCTGGGTTTGATCCCCAGGAACCACTTAAAGGTGGAAGGCGAGATCTTAGCTTACAGAGTGGTCCTCTGACACACACACACACACACACACACACACACACACTCTCACACACATTCTCACACACTGATAATAAATGCAATTTTAAAAGGGGGGAGGAAGATGGATGCGGTGGTGCACGCCTTTGACCCCATCATGCAGGAGGCAGAGGCAGGAGGATCTATGAATTCCAGGCCAGCCTGGTCTATCAAGTGAGTTATAGGCCTGCCGGGGCTATGTAGAAAGACCTTGTCTATAAATAAATAAGCAAAAAACCAAACAAGTGAGAAATGAGGGAAGGAATGTTAGGAAAGGAACAAGCTGGGTGGTTGCTCACACCTATAATCCCTGCACTCAAACTCAGGAAACTGAGGCAGTCCTCTTCAAAGGATTGGTGAAGCCCTTTGCAGTTCCAAGGTCGGTCACCAGGAGGCGAGTTGAACCCGGTGGTCGGGTCTCCCCGCTCTGGTGTCCCAGCCTGAACCTCTTAATCCACTCTTACTCAAGGGACTCAAATAGGGAACTGGTTGGTGAATCTGACCCTTTGTCAGGACGGGCCCTGGAACTCCCCAGACAAGGTAAAGACAGAGCAGACCCACCTCGTCTCTTTCAGCACGTCTCACAGGGAAAGGGTGCCTATGAGCTGTACCTGGTCCCTGTGTCAACTTGACACAAGCTGGAGTCATTTGGGAAGAGGGAACCTCAACTGAGAAAATGACCCTACCAGACTGGCCTGTGGGAAAGCCCCCTGTGTATTTTCTTGATGGGTGACTGATGGGGGAGGGCTCAGTCCACTGCGGGCTGTGCCATCCCTAGGAGGGTGGTCCTGGGTTCTATAAGAAAGCAGGCTGAGCAAGCCATGGGGAGCAAGCCAGTCAGCAGCACCCCTCCCTGGCCTCTGCATCAGCTCCTGCCTCCAGGTTCCTGCCCTGCTTGAGTTCCTGTCCTGACTTCCTTTGATGACAATTAATGATATGGAAATGTAATCCGAATAAACCCTTTCCTCCCCCAAGTTGCTTTTGGTCATGGTGTTTATCACAGCAATAGTAACCCTGACCAAGACACTCCTCCATAGCCCAGCTTAGTTGTCACCTCAGTCTTGCGACCCCAGATCACAGGTTTGGGGGCTAACCAGAGACCAAAGTCAAAAACCAGTTATGTGCCTCAAGTGTCTCAACCACTCTGCCCCTATTTCCTCTTCTGTAAAATGGGAACAAATACACACCCCAAAAAACTTGCAGGTTGTGGTGTGGACGAACCGCTGGCACCCACTGCCAGGCTCCAGGCTGAATCCTCTAGACAGGTTCCCTCACTGGGACTTTCTACCAAGGCTGCCACGCACAACCTGCTGTGTATGTCTAGAGAGCACTGTCAAGGTCCGGGCTGGGGCTTGGGACCCAGGGATGGCACGGTGGGGTAAACAGACATCTGCCTCAGAGCCAGGATGTAGTTTGATGAGGAGATGTACTATAAACCAAGAAAATAATAGGAAACTGTGAATATTGAAGATGAACAAAAGGGTCTCCTTTGGGCATGGAGCCAGGGAAGGCCTCTTGGACCAGAAAGATATGAATGAGCTAAGCATGAACCAGGCCACACCCTGGATGCATTATTGTACGGCATGAGGTCCTCATGAAGATTAAGTTCAGCCATGAAGTGAGGGTGCCCACTGTACCCGGTGTGGCTTGATAAGAGCTAACTATTGTGTGGGGCTTGCTGGGATCCGGGCACCATGCCCAGCACCTTCCTGATGATCTCAGAATGCACTGAGAAACCCCAACAGAGACCTGTATGTGACTCCATTTTATAACTAGTGACCCGGAGGGGTTGGTACACAAGGCCACAGGTCAGGAACTGTGGCTCAGAGTTCAAACCCAGGTGTGTGCTTCCACACTGTGTGGCATCTTAACTCCCTGGTTCTCCTCCTCCTCCTCTTCATCATCATCATTATCATTTATTGAAAATGAGGCTGTTTGGTACTTCACTGACAGTTATCCTTAAGAGCGGAAACTCACTGAGTAATGGTGGCGCGCACCTTTAATCCCAGCACTCGGGAGGCAGAGGCAGGCGGATCTCTGTGAGTTCGAAGCCAGCCTGGTCTACAGAGTGAGTTCCAGGACAGCCAAGGTTACACAGAGAAACCCTGTCTTGGGGAAACAAACAAACAAAAGCAAGAAGAAAAAAGAGCTAAAATTCTTGGCTCTGTCCCCAGGCTTCTCTGCCCACCGCCCCTTGATGACAACAACCTCATCGCCATCAGGGTGGTGACCCATCTGAGCCGAGGCCTAGGGACCCCATTGTCCCACTCCCCACCGTGCAGCTGGTGGGACCTCAGCAAGAGGCTGGACCTCCCTGTCCTGTAATGGAGAGAGAAGGCCTGTGATTCCCTCACTGGAACTCACTTCAAAGGGCTGCCCATTCTCTCCAGCCCTCACAACAACCCCAGCAGTTCTGGGCTGCTTTCTCCAGGGGCCATCTGGGTGGCATACAGCAGCTGAATCAGGAGAAAGTCTAGAAAGCCAGGCTGACCGCCCCCCCACCTGCACAATCTGATATCCACCTTCAGGGTCCCCAGGGCCCCGCCTCCTGGGGGGTGACAAGACAGGACAGATGCTCCCGGAGTAGTAGCCATCCTCACTCCCGCTTGCTGCCCCACAACCCCCAGCCACTCCCACAATGCCACCCTTACCTTCCCAGAGGACAGTCCCTAGACCAGCGCAGCCTACAGCCCAGCCGGGACCAACCTGGCCTCACGGGCCAAAGATCAGCTTCCGCCACCAGGGCCCGGCCCCTCCTCCCTGTTAAAGGGACAGTTCCTGATTCTGGGCCCCGATAAAGACTCAACAGTAAAAACAGCCAAGTTGGATTCATGGGGATATTCAACCCTCCCCTCTTTCCTCACGCAGCTCATGGCTCGTGAGTGACCTGGGCTCATCGGGCCGATGGGGAAATGGAGGCTCAGGAAGGAACGCATACATCCACAGGGACTGGCCAGCAAGAGGCAGAAGGAACCTCTCACCTTGGACCACCTTCATTAACACAGCCACCCTAGATCTAACATATCCAGAGCTGTCCTTAGGTCAGGCCACGTTCCCTGGACCACACGGGGGTCAGCTTAGGTTTGAGCCGAGAAAACAAAGACGCAGACCAGGCATGGTGGCGCACGCCTTTAATCCCAGCACTCTGGAGGCAGAGGCAGGCGGATCCCTGTGAGTTCGAGGCCAGCCTGGTCTATACAGCAAGTTCCAGGACACTTGGGGCGACATAGAGGGACCTTGTCTTACAAATAAAAAATAAATAAGTGAAAGGAAGATAGAAAGAAGACAAGGGAAGCTGGTAGCCATCCTGCCACCCTGTCTGAATGGGAAGGGTGACTCACAGCACATTCCTATCTCTGCTCTTTCACAGCCAGCAGAAGAAGCCTGGCTGTTATTAACTGTCCACAGCAATGGCTTCGTGCATTCAATAAATAAATATTTACCAGACACCTACCGCCGGCCAAGTCCTGAGACCTTTAACCTCAAACAAGATAGCGTGTCCCCTGCTTTCTCCCAGCACTCGGGATGCCCGTGCTGTGGGAGGTGGGAGCAGGTGGGGTGTCAAGCCCAGGCAGGCGTGGAGTGGGGGGGGATTGAAAGGGTCACAGAAGTACTTGTAACAGTCTGGGGAGACGGCTCTGGGTAAATGCATCCCACGCAAGTGCGGAGACCCAAGGTCGGCTCTCCAGCACCCGTGAAGAAGGGTTCAGACTCCTGTGTCCTCATTCATCCTGAGTCTCAGTTTCCCTAAATACAAAATGAGAGGCAAGATTCAAGAAGGACCAGGCACCATAGGGAAGTGTGTCCCTTAGGGAAGTGTGACCTCTCCCCTCCCATGATTGATGATTAACCCTTGGCTACCTGGGGTCAGGTGGAACTGCTTTGCCATGATCTGCAACTGGGAACCCTCCCAACTCACTTCTGCCCTCGCATTGCCCCTCCCCCATCACTGTCCAGTGCCCAGTCTTGCCTGAGGCACTGGGGACCCCAAAAGGACAGAGAGCAGAAGGTCGCCGCAGTGGCTGTAGTGTGGGATCTGGAGAAAGGCTTCCTGGTAGAGGAATACCTCAGCCGTAGACAAGGATCTGCATTAATGGCATGCCTATGGCACATCAATCGCATATCCTCAAGGCTCTCATCCCCATCGCTGGGGATGGAACCCGGCCGGGGCTTTGCAATGTCAGATAAGCTCTCTACCACAAGCCCCTAGGAATGGAGTCTCTAGTTTTTCTTGCCATGGGATCGTGTGTAGTCCAGGCTAGTCTCAAGCTTGCTATGAAAATAAAGACAAGGTCTGGAGAGATGGCTCAGCGGTTAAGAGCACTGGCTGCTCTTCCAGGGGTCCTGAGTTCAATTCCCAGCAACCACATGGTGGCTCACAACCATCCGTAATGAGGTCTTGTGCCCTCTTATGGCCTGCGGGTGTATATGCAGCCAGAACACTGTATACATAATAAATAAATAAATCTTTAAAAAAAAAAAAAAAGAAAGAAAGAAAGAAAGATGACTGAACATCTGATCTTCTCCCCTCCACCATCCAAGTGCTAGGATTACAGACGCACACCCATGGTGTGGGAGTGTGTACACACACACACACACACACACACACACGCACACACACACACACGCACACACACACACACGCATGGCGGGGGGGGGGGGGGGGGGGAGGTGCTCTGGCTAAGTGGTTAAGAGCATGTGCTACTCTTGAAGAAGATTCAAGTTCAGTTCCCAGCACCTACATCAAGTGGTTCATAATGGCCTGCAACTCCAGTTCCAGCAGGTCTGACGCCTTCAAGGGTACCTGCACACACATGTGAGTAACCTCTACACCCCTTACACACAATTAAAAATAATAAGTCAGGCAGTGGTGGCATACACCTTTAATCCCAGCACTCTCCGGGAGGCAGAGGCAGGAGGATCTCTGTGGGTTTGAGGTCAGCCTGGTCTACAGAGAGAGCTCCAGGACAGCCAAGGCTACACAGAGAAACTCTGTCTCGAAGAGCCAAAATTAATAATAATAATTCCTTTCTTTTGCGTGTTGGTTTTGATTTGGTTTGGTGCTTTGAGACAAGAGTCTCACTATGTAGCCCTGGCTGGCCTGGAACTCACTCTGTAGACCAGGCTGACCTCAAACTCACAGAGATCCTCCTGCCTCTACCTCCTGAGTGCTGGGACTAAAGGTGTGCACCACTGTGCTGAGCCAAATCTTTGTTTGTTTGTTTGTTTTTAAAGAAAACTATTAAGTCATAGAACAAGCCAAGTACTGGTATACCTGTAATATCAGCACTCCAGAGGCTGAGGCAGGAGGATTGCCGTGAATTCAACAGCAAGACTGTCTCAAATACATGCATACATACATACATACATACCATACATACATACATACATACATACATACGACATATATTTGGCATATATGTGGCTATTGAGATGGTTTGCCAGGTAAGAACATTTAGCCAAACTGACGGCCTGAATTCAGTTCCCAGGACCAACATGGCGGAAGGAAAGAGAACTGACACCAACAAATTGACCCCTGACCTCCACGCACCCGTTGTAGCATGCATGTGCACCAACACACACACACACACACACACACACACACACACACACACACACACACACACACAGAGAGAGAGAATAAACCAATGTAATTTTTAATTTTTTAATGAGAACAGAGAAACGAAAGAAAGCAGAACAGGCGCGGGGCGGGCTCCTATGGGGGAGGCAGTGCGTTCAGTATCTAGGACACAGATCTTGGAGCCGGGCTCTGCCACGCAGAGTAGCAGCCACACCACTTCCCTGGGCTGAGGAACCCTAGGCAAGTCACTCAGTCTCTCTGTGCCTTGTTTGCCCTGCTGTGGAGCAGATGTGTGTGTGGGACACGGGGGGCCCACAGCTGGTGCTCTGTTGTCTGTCCTGTGGTTCCCTGAGAATACGGCACAAAGTGGCAGAGAAGCCTGTGACGTCATTCCATCACAGAATGTACAACTACCTGGACAAAAAAGAAAAAAAAAATTCCAACGATCCCCTGTGCTGAGGAAACAGGTTCGGAGAAACCGAGTCATTGACGCAAGGTCACAGAGCAGGGGCAGAGCCAGAGGCTGAGTCGCGGAGGGGCTGGGCTCCACAGATGCTGGCTGGAATGAGGGAGGGGATGGGCTTGGAAGGCTAACGGGGACGGGGGAGGGGGGGAGGCTATGTTTGTCAGCCAGCTCCTGTCCCTGACACCTCAGGCCACCGAAGAGCCACCATGCCAGTCCTCTGGGTTGCTCATTAATCCTCATTTCACCACCTCAGCGCCAGCTGTGCATCCTGTTCCCGGGACAAAGAGACCTTGCTGCTGAACCACGTGGAGCCTCCGACACTTGCCAACCAGCCTCCGTCACAGACCCTCACCTCACACTCTTCCTTGCTTGCACGAGTTCTGAGCCACTAGGTGGGACCAGGGACCTGGCAGGTGAAGCCACACATGCAGCCAGTGAGCAGCGACTAAGTGAGGGTGTAGGCATATGAATCCCCCCCCACACACACACACACACACATAGCGTGGCTCCTTGGCCAAGTTCAAAGACTCCCCATCCCTGACCAAGAAGTCTGATCATTGCAGACCCGAGAATCCGGCCTTTCGGCATGATTTCCATCAGCCAAGCTAAGCTATACCACCCTCTCTGGAAGGCCACAGTCCCGCAGTCACCCTATCCTCCCACTCTGTTGCTCCCCAGCACCCAGCAGCCATGACTGAACCTTGGATGTATTTGAGTTTGAAACCCTGGCAGAGACACTCCCTACCACAACTCATCTGCCCAGAACAAGGGAAAGAGTTAGGTGCAAAAAAGCTAATGTGACTAGTTGGGCCACCCAGCACAGAGACCAGGAACCAAGCTTTGAGGGACATTCAACCCGGGTGCACCTCCCAAGAGGCTTAAAAAATCATACCTGGGCTGGAGAGATGGCTCAGAGGTTAAGAGCACTGGCTGCTCTTCCAGGGGTCCTGAGTTCAATTCCCAGCAACCACATGGTGGCTCACAACCACCCGTAATGAGATCTGGCGCCCTCTTCTGGTGTGCAGGCAAACATGCAGGCAGAATACTGTATACATAACAAATAAACCTTTAAAAAAAAATTCATACCTAAGCACTGGGTATGGTGGTGAGCGCCTGGAATCCCCACACTTGGGAGGTGGAAGCAGGATCATCAGACAAAGGCCATTCTTGACTACAAAGGAAATTCAAGGCCAGCCTGGGATACAGGAGAACCTGCCTTCAAACAAACAGACTCATAGCTAATCTGGGCGTGATGCTGTATACCTCTAAGCCCAGCACTCCGAAGGCTGAAGCAGGAGAATGAAGAGTCCCAGGCCAGCCTGGGATACATAGCGAGACCCCGTCTCATAGAACAAAACCCCTTGGACTTCACAGAAATGGCAGGAGCTTGTGACAGAGATGGGGGGTTGGTTGGGGGAGTCCCTAACACTACTACCCACTGCCCCTGAAGGGATGCCTTGGGCTGGAAGCACAGAAGGTTCCCATGAAACTCAACAGTTACCACCCAAGGGGCTTTGGCTCCTGTATTTGTGCAACCCCTAGGAGAAGAAAAAAAAACACCCTTGTCCCCTCAAATTAAACACTGCACGTGCACTTGGGGTGTGAGGTGTTTTTACTACAGACTTCTTCACTTGCCAAGGAGCTGTGACCACGTCTCTCTCAGGGTCTCTCTGGGCGCTGGATTTGGCCAGCTCCCCACGTCCAGCATGGGTCACCATGGGTGATGATAACCCCTGGGAGAGGCTCCAGCTATTGCCAGGTCCTGACCTTGGCTTGGTGCCTGTTTTTACACATCAGGGATCAGCAAAGACTGTTTGTCACTAGGAATGACGCACAGTGGGAGTCAGCAGCAGACGGTGCCACCGAGAAACCCAGGAGGGTTCTGGGATCTCCCCGCTCACCCAGTGAGGGTTGCAGCAGGTGACCACAGTGTAAAGAGCCCAGCGGCTGCCAAGTCCTCAGCTGGGACCACAGAGGTTGAACACAGAGTCCAAAACAAGGGCGCCTCATTGTTCAAATTCTATTCTCTTTTTTTTTTTTTTAACATTTTTTAAAGATGTTTTTAGATGTATTCATTTATTTATTGTGTGTGTGTGTGTGTGTGTGTGTGTGTGTGTGTGTGTGTGTGTGTATGTGTGCCATGGCACACAGGTAGAGGTCAGATGACAATCTGTGGGAGTCAGTTTTCTCTTTCTACCATGTGGGTTACAGAGATGGAACCTGGGCCATCAGGCTTGGCAGCAAGCATCTTTAAACACTGAGCCATCTTATCATCGTGTGTGTGTGTGTGTGTGTGTGTGTGTGTGTGTGTATAAGTATTATTTTATTTTTTTGAGACAGGGTCTCATGTATCGCTTTGAACCCACTAGGTAGCCAAGGATGACCTCCCAAGTGCCAGGTTTACAGGTGTATGCCACCACACCTGGCCACTTTTTTATTTTCTTTAGAGACACAATCTCTTTCTGTACCTCGGTCTGGCCTCACACCTGTAACAATTGTCCTGCCTCAGCCTCCCATGAGCTAGGACGATGGGTGTGAGCCACCGGCCCCATTTGGGGCCTCTTGGGGCTCTGGTTCAGGAGCAGATGGACAGAATGTGTTTTGTACACCTGAGCTTAAGTCCTGGCCACAGCACCAGGAGCAGAGACGGCAGAACAAGGAGGGCTGAGGGTGGCTGAGGGTGTCGTTCATGTCTCCCTGGAGCGGTTCCTCAGACGCAGCCGCTGGTGTCTGTTCTAGGACAGATGCCCCGGTCATTGTGTGGAACTATGATATTTTTCACTCTGATACAACTAAAAAATATCTCCAGAGACTGCCCAGAGCCCCCTGGATGCAAAAGACACCCCACCTTGGGAATGGCTGTACTGTCAAGGTGTGGGAAGGAGGTGTATGTGAAAGGGTTGGAAAAGGTGGTAAGGGTCTGGGCTAGGAATATGGCTGAGCTGGGACAGTGCTTTCCCGGCATACACGAGGTCCTGAGTTTACTCTGACTATGGTGATTGAGAGTTGTGCTGGGTATAATAGTCTGGGTTGGCATCCGTGGTCTCTTAGTGTCTGCATAACAGTTGTCCAGGACCTTCCGGCTTTCTAGTCTCTATTGAGAAGTCTGAAGGTCCTGAGTTTGATCCTCAGTACCATGTAAAGTAGGCATGGTTGGCACTCGCCTATGACCCCAGCATTCTGAAGGTGGAGGCAGGAGAATCAGGAGGTGAAGGATATCGTCAGCTACTTTGTGAGTTGGAGGCCAGCCTGGGCTACGTGAGACCCTGACTCAGATTTAATCTAAAACATGAAATCTAGACCCTCCAGGTATATTCAAACTGCTCAGCCCACTCACCTGTTCCCATTTCAACTCTCTCCATCAACTCTGTGTTCCCTAAAGACTCTGAGTTCCCAAGATAGCATTTTCCAAGTTACCCTCTTCCTTGATGACTCTTAGCAAATGCCATCCTCCAGGCCTGTCCTCACTACAGCACGGGACAAAGGAAGCCCATACACTTGTGTGTCTTGGCACACATGAGACGACCCCCCACACACACACACAGGGGATACATGGCATGGGACTAGGACCCCATCACTCTGGCAATAGGTGCTGGTAAAGAGAGACACAAAGTGACTGTATCCACACAAGGGCTTTGTGACATCCATGTCATCCCGGCTTGCCTATCTCATGTCCTTGACCCATGGTCATGCCTATTGTGAGTGATGGGGGGAGAACCAATGACAACACGCAGCTTGTTCTGCCTAGGGGGGTTCCTGGGCAAGCCGACTGTGCCATAGTCACACTGTGTTTATCGGTATTCTTGGCCCAGCCAATGGGACAAGAGAACTTTCTTGGTTGGGGAGGCCAGAGAAAGAAGCAGTCGGGTCGCATGCCTGTGCATGTGTTCGTGTGTGTGTGTGTGTGTGTGTGTGTGTGTGTGTGTGTGTGTGTGTGTACCCTTGTGGATGTATAGGCCTCTGCATACCACCAGAGACAAGCCAGAGGCTCAGAGTGGAGCTGGAAGAGGTTTTAGATATAAGACCTCCTAGGTCTTATATCTAGGTCATAGTAGTGATGGTGGTATTGATGGTGATAATTATGGTGGTGTTGATGATGATGGTGGTGGTGATGATGGTGGTGGTGGTGATAATGATGGGGATGATGATGGTGGTGGTGGTGATGATGAGGGTGGTGGTGATAAATTGGGTGGCGATGTTGTTGGTGGCGGTGATGGTGGTGGTGGTGATGATGATGGTGGTGATGATGGGGGTGTTGATGGTAGTGTTGATGATGATGGTGGTGGTAGTGGTGGTGGTAGTGATGGTGATAACGGTGGTGGTGATGTCAGTAGTGATTGCAGTGATGGCGATGATGAAGGCTACTAACACACACAGGCTGCCTGTTCAGTTTCAAGTCTGTCACTTAACCCACACCCCCATCTCCAAAGCCTGGCACGGAGGTGCTGGCATCATCCCTGTTTGCAAGTGAGCAAACAGAGTCTGTGGGAGGGCAAGGTTCTTGCTCAGAACTGCTGATCTAGTAACAGTGGAGCCAGGACTTGAACCCAGTCCCCTGGGTCTTACCCATCTGCCCGTTTATATGAAGAGTCCCTAGAGGATGGCAGTAAGCAGCTCTGTCAATCACAGGGTTGGGAGTCCTGCCCAAGTCCCGCCTCTTGCTATGTCTGTGACCTGAGCCTCATTTCCACTCTACATAAACCTCTTTTACGGCTTGACACTAATTTGGGGTTCGGTGGCTGAGTCCCATTCTCCCCTCCCCCCTTCTTTCTATTTTGAGACAAGAGCTCACTCTAGTCCAGGCTGGCCTCGGACTCAGTTCTCCTGCCTCCGTCTCTGCTGTTCAGGGGTCGCAAGTGTGAGCCACCATGTGGCTGAGCTGTGGCTGTTTCTTGGCCACATACTACGTGTCCAGCAACTGCCCAGCTTTTCTGTAGTTGTGGGATGAACCCCCAGGGCCCCTGGCAAGGGCTCTTTAGTGCTACCCCCATCCCCACGCCCAGGTCCTACATGCCCTCGGGAGATAAGTGTCTTACTTGCAAGTGAAGAAACCAGGAGGAAAGGGGAGGTGACAGAGTCAGAGGCCAGGATGGAGACCAGGCCTGAATGCCCTCCCCTGCCACTGCCCCAGCCTGGACCAGGGGGCGTGGCTTTTGGGGGCGTGGCCTGCCTGGGCCCTTATTGGCTGCCCAGAGGTTCCTCCAGAGAATAAAGCCCTGGAGCAGAGCGTCCTGCCAACCTTCTACTTTCCCAGGACACAGACACAATCTACCCCTCGCTCGCTCTGACCAGCTCCTTCTGTGCCAGGTACGTGGCCCCCAGCCTCAGCTGTATCCCAGAACTGACAGCCAGGGACAGCCAGAGTCGGGTACCCAGGAAAGGGAAGAGGGGCTGAGGCACATCCATTCAAGTCTCCGTGTTCTGATCTGTAAAATGGGACGATGGTAGGATCCTCCAGCTCAGGATGGCACAGGGGTGAGATGAGACAGGCTGTGTTTGCTGAGTGCTCGCATGAGCCAAATGACAGGGGAGGAGGGACTTCTGCTCTGGAGCTCGTGCCTCAGATCAGCCACCTTTGCCAAGACCTCCCCACCCCGACTCTACACTTTTTTCCTCTCCTGAGTCTCACCATCTATAGAGCCGGGTGGGATTGGCCTCTGGAGTGGGAATCAGTACACCCCAGAGTTGCAGATGCAGCCTTGGGGCAGGGACCAGGTGGGGCTCCCCAAAGCCACCTGGAAGGGGTCTGCAGGGTGATGGGAACCACGCACCAGCCAGAGGTTGCATCAGCTGGGCCTTTTGGGTCCAGAGCAGGCCCGGTGTGTCAGGATGGGGGCTAGCTGGGAGCTGAAGGCTAAAGCTAACAAATTTGGAGGTACCCTTGTTTGCCATGCCCTTCTCCCCTGACTGTCATTCAAGGGGTCTACTAGGAAGAGGGGCCTAGTGGGCTTACCCGCCATCTCAGCACTTGAGAGGCAGGAGAATCACGATGAATTTGAGTCCATCTCTCTTGAGACCGAGGCAAGAGAATCACAAGTTTGAGTCTCATGCGCACGCACAGGAGCATGCACACGCAAGCGTTCATATATGTACATGCTCCCAAGAGTCACCCTCTGCCTAGGCTGGATCCTACTTGGCCCTGGATCTCTCTTAGGGCTTCTCACAGGGCTTCAGAGGGACAGTGGCTGAGCCGGTGTTAACCCAAAGGCTTCCTCACTGTCATGGCTACCAAAGGGACCTCACGGTACCATTAGCCAAACCTAAGCTTGTCATGTAGCCTCGAGAGTAGTCCTCTCGATGTGGGAACTGTGTGATGAGGGTGAACCAGGGGGCTGTGTAGCCTCTCTGGTCCCCATGCCAGGAAAAAAGAATTCTGTTTTTTAAAAAACGGGAGCCCCCAGGTGGTGGTGGCACACACCTTTAATCAGGAGGCAGAGACAGGTGAATCTCTGAGTTCGAGGGCAGCCTGGTCTACAGAGCAAGTTCCAGGATGGTCAGGGCTACACAGAGAGACTGTACGTAAAAAAGGAGGAGGAGGAGGAGGAGGAGGAAGAGGAGGAAGAGAGAGAGAGAGAGAGAGAGAGAGAGAGAGAGAGAGAGAGAGAGAAAGAAGAAAGAAAGAAAGAAAGAAAGAAGAAAGAAAGAAAGAAAGAAAGAAAGAAAGAAAGAAAGAAAGAAAGAAAGAAAGAAAGAAAGAAAGAAAGAAAAAGGAAGGAAGGAAGAAGGAAGGAAATGAGAAGAAATGAGAGCCTTTCATAGCTTAATACTGGGGTCCCAGGTCTTTTTGCTTTTGTTTTGAGACAGTCTTATGTAGCCCAGGATGTCCCTGAATGCCTAATCCTCTTGCCTTCACCTTTCAAGAACCGGGATTACAGGCCTGTACCAAGCCCAAAGGCTCATTTTTTTAAATATACATGTGCTGAACACCAGGTATGGTGGGGTACACCTGTGATCCCAGCAATTGGGAGACTGAGATAGGAGGATCAGAAGTTCAAAGCCAGCCTAGGCTACATGGTAAGAACATAATTTTTTAAAGCGTATATGGGGTTAGGATATGGCTCAGTCTGTGAAAGGGCTTCCTATGAGAACCTTTGTCCATATCCCCAGAACTCACATCAAAAAATGCCAAACACAGCAAAAAATACCTGCAATCGCAGCATTGGAGAGCAAGAGACAGGAGGACCTCTGGGCTCGCTGGCCAGCCAGGCTAACTGAATCAGTGAGCTCCAGACTCAGGGAGAGACCCTGCCTCAAACAAATAAACTAGAGCAATTGAGAAAGACACCAGATGTTGACCTCTGGCCTCTGCATACATATGTGTGTGTTTAAATAAGTAATATACAATAGGACAAAAATGCTGAGCATGGAGGGGTCCTGTGGACCCAAAGGCCACTCTCCACAGGACCCCACTTGGCTCATTTCTTTTGTGTTTGCTGACACGTTCTGAGCTCATGGAAGCAGGTGGGGTGGGGTGGGTTCCACTTGACTTTCCAGAAACAGGCCTCGACTTCCCCTGGCCTTGCTTTATCCACACCCCCATCTTGTGACTCATTCTGAACCAGCTTGTGCAAGACCCTTCCCCTAAACTTGCCCAAGTCTGCAGCCTAAGGATGTTTGTGCAAGACTCTTTCCTTGAACTTACCCAAGGCTGCAGCCTAAGGATGTTTGTGCAAGACTCTTCCCCTGCAGACTAAGGAAGTTTCTGAACTTATGACCTTCCAAATCTGGGGGGCAAAGGTGAGGGCTTGGCCACTGATTTAGCTGGTAGATAGCCCAGCTGAGATTTTTAGCCCAGTTGAGATTTTATCCTGTGCCCTTTCCTGAAAATCGTGGGTATGAGGGAGGGAGTCATAGAGCTCAGAAGGGCAGCTGTCTTGACTCTTTACATCTCCTCCCTTCCCCCCAGCCATGGCAGCCCAGGAGCCCCTCCACGTGAAGACTCCGCTGCGTGACAGCATGGCCCTGTCCAAAGTGGCTGGAACCAGTGTGTACCTAAAGATGGACAGCTCCCAGCCCTCGGGTTCCTTCAAGATCCGAGGCATTGGGCACCTCTGCAAGACGGTACAGGGCAGGGTGGCATCCTGGCAGGAAGGGCACTCCTTCCTACCTGACAGTTCTAGAGCCAGGGGTGCCGATGTACACCCAAGATTTCAGCACCCAGGATACTGAGGCAAAAGGGTGGAAATTGAAAGAAGGGTGGGAAGCATCCTAGGCTGCATAGCAAGACCCTGTCTCTAAAAAAATAAGTAAATTCATCATCATCATCATCATCATCATCATCATCATCTTAAAGGCTGGAGTTTAGATGGCTCAGCAGTTAATAGCACTGGCTGCTCTCGCAGAGAGCCTGAGTTCAGTTCCCAGCATCCACATGGTGACTCACAACCACCTATAACTCCAGTTCCAGAGAATTTGACGCCCTCTTCTGATTTCCAAGAGCATCTACACTCACATGCACATAATTAGAAATGAATATTGGGCGGGAGAGATAGCTAAGCAGTTAGGAACACTTTGGGCTCTTTCAGAGGAACCGTGCTCACCCTCAGCATCCAAGTTGGTGGCTCACCTGTAACTCCAGCTCCAGGGCATCTGATGCTCTCTTCTGCCCTCTGCAGGCAACACATGCACACATACACGTAGATAAATAACTTGAATAAATACTATCTTCCTAAAAAGAAAGTAATTTTAGAATAGGCTACACATATCAGAGTTTCCTCTGGCTAAGGGATACCCCACTCATGAGATTCTCTCAAGACTGACATCTGCTCCCTTACCCCAGCCAGTCTCCTTGGGAAAGCTATGCCTGAGGGGAGGGTGGTTCAGATACCAAGAGGAGGAAGGTGAGTGAGTTCAGTGTGGATGCTCCAGGCAGGGACTGAGAGGTAGCCTGACCCCTCCTCTTGTCTCCACAGAGGGCAGAACAAGGCTGTAAACATTTTGTCTGTTCTTCAGGTAAGTGGCCAAGAGGCTTTCTTTCCCTTCCTATCCTGGACTGTGTGTGTCCTGAGGCCAGGCGCTTCACCTCTCTGGGGCCGTGGTCTCTGCAGCAATGAACCCATTCATAGACGTCCAGATTCGGCGTCCCAGGATGAGGCAGAGGTCACTTGGGAGGAGACAGGAGTTCAGAGCCTGACAGGAAAGGGATGACCAGCCCCACTTAGGGTCCCAGACCCTTCTCTGCTGACACACCCTCTCCATGCCACCCTAACAGCGGGCAATGCGGGTATGGCGACTGCCTACGCTGCCAGGAGGCTGGGCATCCCAGCCACCATCGTTGTACCCAACACCACACCTGCCCTCACCATCGAGCGGCTCAAGGACGAAGGCGCCACCGTTGAAGTGGTGGGAGAGGTGAGTGCGGACCGGCAGGTGGCAGGTGAGAGGGCTCCTGACAGCTGGACAAGGTCCCCCATCATTTCATTCTCTTCCTACTCCCACTGCCCTGCAGATGTTGGATGAGGCCATCCAACTGGCCAAGGCTCTAGAAAAGAACAACCCAGGCTGGGTGTACATCTCCCCCTTCGATGACCCCCTTATCTGGTGAGTTGGGGCCACCCCACTCCTTACAGCACATATCTGCCATAATGTGTAATGCCTGCCGGTTCTCCATGTTGCACACCCAATGTATGCAGGAGAGAACACACAAACACCCAGATGCACACATCAGCAATGGGGGGGGGTCCCCAGATACAGAGATTCAGGGAGATCAGCTCATCTGGGGGTGACTAGGAACAAATGAGGTGGGGATGCACTGATGAAGGTAGCTTTCATATGCCAGCATCTGCCATGGGCAACTGAACCTCAGCCCCTGGGGACCCTGAGAACCTGTGGGGAATGAGCATCCAAGAAATGTGTCCACTGAAGGGTAGGAAGTGGGGGTTTATCCACCAACTCCCACAGCCATCCTCTCTGGGGGAGGGGGGGGTGCGTTTTTCGTCTCCTACACAATCAGTGTCCTATGAGGCCATGGCTGGGCGGGGTAGAGGGCAAAAGCCAGCTCCAAGGTTCACCACTGCCTGGGATGGAAGCAAATATGGACCTTAGCCGGCATCTTCAACCATCCGTTGTGTCTTCAGGAAGCCCAGCCCTGACCTGCCACCCTTCTCCTGCCCAGGGAAGGCCACACTTCCATCGTGAAGGAACTGAAGGAGACGCTGAGTGCCAAGCCTGGGGCCATTGTGCTATCAGTGGGTGGCGGAGGCCTGCTGTGTGGAGTGGTCCAGGGACTTCAAGAGGTGGGCTGGGAGGATGTGCCCATCATTGCCATGGAGACCTTCGGCGCCCACAGCTTCCATGCAGCCACCAAGGAAGGAAAGCTGGTCACCCTGCCCAAGATAACCAGGTGAGCTCGGCACCTCCGTTATACACACAGTGAAAACGAGACTTTGGTCGTTTGCTCAAAGTCACACAGCCATGTGTGGTATGTCTGGGCCTTGAACACGAGTCTTTATGTGAATAATGGCAGGTAATGTCAATCACTTCTTGAGGTCCTCATGCCTCACTTCTTTGCTGGCCGCTTATCTGACCTCCGAAATGTTCAAGACCCTGGCTGATCCTGGACACGGGGTCGGGGGAAAAAACCACCCTCTTGCCTACAAGGAGTTTATAACCAAACCCTAAATTTGCAGCTTAAACAAAATTGAATTTTGTTTCTCCCTACTTAAAAAAAAAAAAAAGAGAGAGAGAAAGCGTATGAGGGACAGCTCCTTGAAGCTGGGGACTGAGTTCCTTGAGTCTGCTGCCCCACCACTCATTTGAGCCTGGCAGGTTGGGGCAGGAGGCCAGTGAGCGGAGTAGGTGAAGGTTACAAGCTGGGGTAGGGCATATCTGAGTCAGTCCAGTCTGACAGCCAAGACCACTGTGCAGGTTCTGGGGACTGGGCACGGGCTACCCATTCCCCCCCCATCCATAGTTTCTGCCTCTCACATGCATCCTTCTGCCTCGCCTCCCAGTGTTGCCAAGGCCTTGGGTGTGAACACTGTGGCGGCACAGGCCCTGAAGCTGTTTTACGAACACCCCATTTTCTCTGAGGTCATCTCAGACCAGGAGGCTGTGGCCGCCATCGAGAAGTTCGTGGGTATGTACCAAGGGACCTTTTTGCCCTTAATTTCCTCCCTCCTCGGCCTAGAATGCCTCATGAATGGAAGCTAAAGCAAGTCAGTGGTAAAAAGAAACACCTGGGCTGCTCATGAAATAGTGAGCCTGCATCTGCTTCCATCAGTGAGTGACTGGAGGAAGGCTCTCTGATGACAGAATAGTCCCCAATGTCGATGACATTAGACGGCCCGTTCAGGCACCCTCTCCGGTATTGTTAGGAATCTTAGCCGGGGTCATCCTTGTGGATTCCTGGGAGCCAAGCACTGGGCAGAGCTGCAGGAGCCCTGTTGAAGACAGAAAGGACTGTACGAGCCAGGAGGTCAAGGTCATGACAGGGGACTCCACAGAGACAGCTGACCTGAGCTCCTGGGAGCTCACCAACTCTGAAACGACAGCTAGGGAGCCTGAATGGGACTGAACTAGACCCTCTGCATGTGTGTGACAGTTGTGTAGCTTGGTCTGTTTGTGGGTCCCCTAGCAGTGGGATCAGGACCTGTCCCTGGCGCTTGGGCTGGCTTTTGGGAATCCAATCCCCATGCTGAGTTGCCTGGGCCAACCCTGATGCAGAGAGAGGTTGGTCCTGCCTCAACTTGATGTGGCATGCTTTGTTGACTCCCATGGGAGGTCTGCCACTTTCTGAAGACAGGGAAGAAATGGATGAGGGGAGGAGGGGACAGGAGGAGAGGAGGGAGGGGAAACTGTGGTCAGTGAGTAAAATAAATGAAAAAATAATTAATTTAAAAAAAGTGAGCCTGGCAGTCATGACAGCAGGGAAGACAAGCCAGCCATCCTTTCAAGTGCCCGTTTTGAGCTCCCTAGTAGTCAGGGTCACAGGGAAAGGATTGAGATGAGCTGGATTGGAGGTGGTCTGTAATGGAACTCTCTTGGTTCAGTCTGCAACAAGATGGTCAAAAAGAACCAGGAGGAGGGGGGTAGCTGGAGAGATGGCTCAAAGGTTAAGAGCACTAGTTGTTCTTCCAGAGGTCCTGAGTTCAATTCCCAGCAACCACATGGTGGCTCACAACCATCTGTAATGAGATCTTGTTCCCTCTTCTGGCCTGCATGCATACATGCAGACAGAACACTACATAATAAATCGTTTATTAAAAAAAAAGAAGAAGAAAAGAACCTGGGTAGTGGTGCTGCACACCTTTAATCCCAGCACTCCAGAGGCAGGCGGATCTCTGAGAGCTCAAAGCCAGCCTGGTCTACAGAGCAAGTTCCAGGATGGCCAGGGCTACACAGAGAAACCCTGACTCAGAGGGGAGGGGAAAAAAAGCCAAAAAGGATGAAAAATAACACACTGCCAGTTATTAATAACCGCAGCTTACTGCCACACACCTAGGCACCCTCTCAGATACCTGAGAACTCTTGGCACAGGCTGAAGAAACTGAGTCTGGGTTCAGCCACAGTGAGAGGTTTGGTCCAAGACTTCCTGGTGTGGAGAGCTGACCAGCCCCTTCCCCACAGATGACGAGAAGATCCTGGTGGAGCCTGCGTGTGGAGCGGCACTGGCCGCACTGTACAGTGGTGTGGTGTGCAGGCTGCAGGACGAGGGCCGGCTGCCAGCCCCACTGGCCTCGCTGGTCGTCATCGTGTGTGGTGGCAGCAACATCAGCCTGGCCCAGCTGCAGGCACTCAAGGTGCAGCTGGGCCTGAACGGGCTGCCCAAGTGACATCCTGGCCTCCCCCCCAGTAATGTGGGCAGGGGATGCACCTGACAGTGGTCCCACCCTCCTTTACCCATGTTTATAACATGCACTTTTTCATTGTAAATAAGTAAATATATATATATATTTATAAAGCAAAGACTTTTGAGTTTTGTTTGTTCTTGACATGAGGTCTGTGTGCAGTCCAGGCCTCCTACTTTGGCTTCCAGCGTGCATTGGTCACCCTGCCATACCTGCCCTGGCTCCCAGAGGAGCAATGCTCCCCACCCACATGCTGGTGGCTTGGGTCTCCCACTGAACTAGTGTTAACAGTGGGGCCCACACATTCATCAACCTGGAGAGGGGACCACAGCTATTCCGCAAAGAGATCTGGGGTAGGGGCAAAGCAGCTGGGGGATGCATAGGCAAGGCCACCACATTCTAACATGAAGTCCTTACTGACAGGACAAGGATAGCCGTAAAACACCAGCGGCCCCACCATGTGCATGAAAACCAACCCTGTATACTCTTGTCTGCAGGGCAGGGACGGTGAAATGAATTTGACCTTTGTGTCAAAAAAGCCCTCACAGTCGGGCAGTGGTGGCGCATGTCTTTAATCCCAGCACTTGAGAGGCAGAGGCAGGCAGATCTCTGTGAGTTCAAGACCAGCCTGGTCTACAGAGTGAGTTCCAGGACAGCTAGGGCTGTTACATAGAGAAACCCTGTCTCAAAAAACCAAAACAACAACAAACCCCACAATCCCCCCTTCCAACAAAACTCAAAACACCTGACAGGCACTGGGCTGGCTGGGGCAGAGCCACCCACACCTCTCAGGACCCCAGGGTACTGGGAGAGCAGGTCTTTCACTCCACTGCCCACCCCAGCATGGCAGGGCTCCAGGACGCTGGACTGCTGGTCTACTTCAGGGCAGTTAGCTTTTATGCTCGCCACAGAGAGCATTCCCTAACTTTCCTAACAAGGTTTCTTGTGGGTCTCTGAGCCTCACAGCAGAACTTAGGGTCTTGGGGGCTAGCAGGGCAGGCCAGACAAGGACCCAGAATGCAGCACATGAGATGGATACTGAGCAGAAGGGTGGATGGACAAAGGGACTAACAGGGATAAGTGGACATATAGGGAGGAACAGACAAGTGAACAGAGACAGATTAGTGGACTGACAGATGAAAAACAGACAACAGGCACGGTGGCCCATACATGTAAATCCAGCACATGAGAGGTGAAGGCACAGTGATCACAAGTTCAAGACCAACCTGAGTTACAGAGCAAAGGCTGTGCCTCAAAACCAAAAGGAAAGGGGTGGGTGGTTCTGGGTGGGTGGGCAGGTGAGGATGGATAGGTGAACAGGTAGATAAGGGCTGGGTGGGCAGGTGGCTGGACGGATGGACAAGTGCGTAGATGGTAACATGCATGGGATGGGTGAGTGGCCGGGTGGGCAGGTGGACTGGCACAGGAGTGAAAGGGCGGGTGGTGAGGATGATGGACAGGTGTGGTGCCAGAAGGCCACAAGCTTCACTGCTGCCTCACAAGACACAGCAGGGCCACGGCCCCTCCTGGTTAATGAGAGCACAGCCTGTGCTTTGCTTACCACAGCAGAGCCAGGGACACCTACCAGGAGGCCTGGGTAGGCTTGGGCCGTGGGGGGCAGGAGCATAGGGTGATGGTGCACCCCTCCTGCCGAAAGAACACTCAAGACCCTCCAGCTACAAGCAGCCAGAAACTTTGGTTTTTGTTTTCAAGCTTCTATCCTCAGGAAAGCTGCCCAGTGAAGGGGACACGGACTGCTCCCTGAGGTGACAGCCCGCAGGCTAGTAGTGACAGCAATGATGAGCCCCATCAGCGTCCCCCCGACACACTGAGGGACGAGCACTAGGAGAACGGTGCCCAGGATCCCACCTGGCCCACAGCCAAGCATAAGCCTCAGCCTACGCGGGGACAGGGGCAGAGAAAAGAGCGATGAATGGGCAAAAGGCTTGGGGACGGAGTCAGCTCTGAGCCCTCGGGGTTTGTGTCCCTGCAGAGGAGACCACCCAGACCAGAGTGCAGTGAGGACAGAGCCCCAAAGGGTGGGCGGCACGTGTGTGACCCTACCGGCCACACAGAATGAAGGCAACTGGGTGGAGCAGATCCTCAGTCCCATGGGACCTTGATGGGTGAGAATGTCCAGAGATCGGGCTGGCCCATGTGCAGCATGTTGTGGAACGGCGATTTACTCCACTGGAATGGGGGTAACTGGTCCCACGTGGGGCCACTGGCTGCCAGCATGCTCATGAACTTGGCCAGTGAAAAGCTGGTCACCTGGAGGCCAGAGAGCAAGCCACTGAGGTGGTAGGGCTCAATCTGGGGGCCCAGCTCTCAGAGCACCATTCTGAAGCTGACCCCAAAGCAAATATCCCCTTAACCTTGACCCAACTGCATCCCAGGTCTGCCCCCTGACCCTGCACCTGCTCCACCCACCCTTCCCCAGAGCATGTGGCAGCTGGCTTGGGTGGCGAACCTTCACATCAATGCCACCATGGGCACGCTGGTGCAGGGCCTGAAATGGGTAGGAGCCATTGGCGGGGTTAAGGTCAGAGCGGGCAGAGATGGCGTTCTCCGCATTGGGCTTCGGGGTGCAGGCTTCACACAGTGACAGAGGGTCATGAAGAAAGTCATTGTACCTGGATGCAGATGGAAAGGATGCTAGTCACCCTCGAGAAGAGCCAAGCTCCTCATGGCACAGAATGGCCCTGACCCTTCCTAAACTTTCTAGGCTTCTCCTAACACCAGCCACGTCTCAGGCAGGGTCAGATGTGGACCACCCTCACCCCTCCAAGGGGTCACCCTAGCCTTGTCACTTGACTCTTCCTGGGGGAGGTTCTCCAGGCCCTTCCTCCAAACAGGTCAGACACCCAGTCTATTCCTCAACAGCATCTGTGGGGACTCAGGCTGCCCAACCACACTTCAGCTCCAGCCTGGGTCCTGGGCAGGCATCTCCATCTCCCAGGAGAAAGGGATTCCCCAAGGATAGCAGGGAACAAGGCCCGCCACCTGCAGACCAAGACTTGTGGCAAGGTTCAGCGGCACTGTCACAGACACACAGGTGGCTCTCTGCACCAAGCTAGGAGTGTGCTGACCCACCTCATGAGATGGACCATGGAGTCCAAGTCCTCCACCAATGACTGGTCCCTCCGGAAGATCTGGGCTCGAGGATTCTTAGTGTAGGAGAACCAGTCTCCATACTGGGCCACCAAGGCCTGCATCCCACTAGCGTTGAATACAGTCTCAAAGAACCTGCTGGGACAAGGGTGGTCACCCACGAGTCCTACCAGCCACAACTGACTGAAGCTGTAGCCAGAATGTGGGGGGGGAGGGGAGGCAGTCACAGTGGAACTGTGATCAGGGCCACATCAGGTTGCAGCAAGGCCCTCTTGTACTGTAAGGGATAAACCTGGGCTCTGGGTCAAATCCCATCTCAGCATTCTCCAACCAGCGATCCCTGCCTCAGTTTCCACATCTGTGGAATGAGAACAGGCTGCTACAGTCAGGTATCATGGTCACAAGGACCCAATGGCAGGTCCTTACATCCTAAGAAAGCACAGGATGTAAGATAGCTCTGAAGAACCCAGCTAAGACTGAGTTTACTGGGACTCAGGCTGTCCCAGCCACACCTCAACTTTAGCCTGGGTACTTCATGGGCATCTCCATCTCTCAGGAGACAGGGTTGGGTCCAGCTGAATGCCTGGCAATACCCAGTCCCAAGGTGTGGCCGTCCCAAGTCACCCTGCAGCGGCTACCAGAACTGGAGGTCACACATGAGGTACAGCTTTCCCGCAGGAGAGGGGCTGGGACAGCTCTCGTTGTCCTGCATGTTTCAAATGTCAATAGGGAGGACTCTGCCTCAGGGAGGACAGACTGGGGGGACGGAGAGTGTGGAAAAAGAAAGAGCACATACGGGATGTTGTAGCTAGCCCAGTAGGTCGTCTTGTAGAGCTCTGCGGTCTTGTCGGCCACCACCACCATGCCCCTGAGACCCGGAGAGATGGACAAAGCAAGTGAGGAGACAAGCTGAGGGCACAGCCAGTGTGAGGGCTCTCGGCGCCCTGAGCAGGAACTGTGCCGAGTCCTGAACCTCCCACCCCCATCAGGGGTACCCCTCTCCTAGGCCGCCCTTCCTCCCTCTGCCCCAGGGACTCACGGAATCTGTTCTAGGATGGTAAGCACCCGGCTTCCAGCGCTGTGCTCCTTAGGGATGAATGCCTTGTAGTCCACAATCATCCATTGGTTATTATACCTGCCAGGCACAAGGAAAGAACTACATCAAACCTGGAACGCTTTCGGGAGAGGAGAAAAGAAAATCCTTTCGTTCTTGAGCCTCAGTTTCCCCAAGTATAAAACAAGGAAGGAGCTCGAGCTGCTCCAGTGAGCATCTAAGAGAAGGGGCTGGGCAGAAGACCCCGGAGCCCCAGTGGTCCCCAAGTAGGGCTGTGGGGCCAGGAACGCACGCACGCACGCACGCACGTGCCACTGTTGAACCGCTTGAAGACCTCTGCCCAGGTGGCCCCATCTAAGGCCAGGCGGTTGGCCACGACGTTCCGAATCCACTCCAGCACGCAGCCCTGGGGCTGCACATACTTCCACAGGGCGGGGTTCTTGTTGCCGATGGTGGTCTCCAGGGTGACCTGTGAGAGAGAGAGTGGGCTGCAGACTCCACATGGCAGCCCTGCCCTGTCTCGGAGGCTCAGAAGTCAGTGTTTATGCTTTCCTTACAACCCTAACCTGCTCTGGTGCACACCCCTCTTGGATTCCTTGGAAAAGTATTTAGTTTGGGGGAGACTCAGGATCTTGTACCCAGCTCTACCTTGGGGACCAGACTGAGGAGCCCAGAATGCCACTCCTAAGTGCCTCCCTTGTCAAAAGGTGAAGTATCCCCTAAAAGGCAGCATTTCATCCCACCCCTTCACTCTGCTCCACAGGGAGAGCTGGTGGCATGAGGTTATTCACCTGACTCCCCTGCAGCCAGAGACATTGGGAAGACCCTAGCCCACGTTGCTCTGTCTTGGAGTCACAAGCCATCTGCTGCTGCCTATGAAACCTCACTGCTCCCTGGGGCCCTTATGTGTCTACATAAACATGCCTTGTTCTCACCGGTTAAAACCAACGCAGAACTAGCTAGGTGTGGTGGCACATGCCTATAACCCAGTACTCAGGAGGCAGAGGCAGAGAGGCAGGAAGACTGTCAGAAGTTCAAGGTGAGCCAGGGCTTCAGAGTGAAGCCTTAGCTGGGCACAGTCCTAAACACCTTTTTAACCCCAGTCCTAGGGAGGTAGAGGCAGGAGGATCAGGAGCTCAAGGAAACCTCAGCTACAGAGTGTGTTTGGGGCCAGCATGGGCTACATGAGACCCTGTCTCAGAAAACCAAACTAAAAAATAGAAAGAGAAGAAAAATAAAGACACCATCTAAGCTGGGCCTGGCACAGGCGTAT